AATTAAAATATTTTTTTGTCTTTGGCAATAGCTGAACTAATAAAGATATATATACATTAAAATATTTAGGTAAATATTTTAATATTTAGTTATGCACGTTTATAATAAAACTAATATTTTTTTAAATATATTTTTATATATTAAATTTCAATATACATGTGTAGGAAGCCACAATAAATGAAGAATTTGGTGAAATATCAAAAGATGCAGCAAGCAATTTTTTAGTAGACAACAAATGGATTTGTAACTTGTACATCTGAAGGTATAACAATTATATCTATATACATAATTATTTAAATTAAGAAATAAATGCATAATGAAAAATTATATAATGTCATTAACTTTTATTAACCATAAATAACATAAAATATGTTTTTCTGCATTTATTTTTTAACGTCCTGCATCATATGTAAAAATAAAATATGTTAATAATTCTTATTTTTATAACATAAACTAATGTTTTTTAAAAAATTTATTCTAAACTTAATTTAAAAAATATATTTTATAAACATCTTTCTTTTTACAATGCACACAAACCTTGTAGAAACGTTAATACGTCCGATACACGAAACTGGTCTATTAACCCATATGTAACGTCTTTTGACAAACGAAAATGCATAATAAAGTCTATATTATCATAATTGTGGACGATATTTTCAACATAACTCTGTATTTATCTTTACATGATCTATTCTTTGGATTATTCCAAATATTGGATGAAAAATTCGTAATTTATTATAATTTAAAAAAAAGAATAGTATTATAAAGTTAGATTCTCTTAAAATTTTAATTTCGTTAATAATAATTTAAATAATAACAATTTAAATAATATTACCATCATTACCATCATCTATGGTAAAATCGGTTCTATTGGTGGAATTTGAAGAATATTTTCTTCATCTGAAGAGTCGATAAATTCCAAAGCTTCTCAACTCTGAAATCCATGTCATGGGCCATATTCGTTACTGCACTAACGCGTTTTTTTTATTTCTTCTCGTATTGATGCACTTATGAGAACTCGTCGAACAGTTCTGGCCTGTACTATCTTGTACTAGTGCAGTCCTAGTGCAGCTAAAAAGAACAAACCTATTGCTTAAATGTTGGTAATGTAGGATAATCATTTTGTCCTTCAGCTAGGGATGGGCGAATTTAAAAAATAACTCGATATTTTAAATATCGAGTAAAAGAAAAAAAAACTTCGATGTAATAGCACCTTTCACTAATGTTTTTCTCTGCAAAGTTCTCTACAAGAGTAGATACCATTGGTCTTAGAATATATACGAATGTATAATTCCTATTAAAGCATCTTTGGTAGAAAAGTTTTTGGGTATAAAAAAAAAAGAAACTATACAGATTAGGAAAACATTGAGTGAAATAATATGTACACACTCATGAAAATTACGTACCTGAAATAATTTTCCATCCTTGTCCTTTATTATTGCTGTACCTTTAATGCCACTTTTCTCGAAAGGCTGTTCGCATATAAAATGCTTTTTCTGCAAATGGGTCCCGGTAGTTGCCAAGATCTTACATCACACACAGAATAATATACCGCCCTTCGGCATTGCAAATAAAGTTGTGTCTACATTATTATCACAATTCAACGTTGCAACACAACATCTTCTCCCCATTGTATTGTATTGATAATTGTTGTATTTAGGCTTTCTACTACATTGTGTTTTCTTAACTGATGAAAGTAACCCACGTTTAACACCGTGAAGCAGTCATATTTGTTTTCATTCGGTACTTAAAACTACGACGCCATCTAGTAACGAAAGCGCTAACTAACTCAAAATAATCACAGAGCTGCTTATGAGAAAGTTATTCAGTCGGACCATCTATACTTTTAACACCGTGATTGCATTGTATTTTTAAGTTTATCAAATTTATATCATCAATTTTCATATCTCATAAAGCAGATTTCAGAATAGTAAAATAGTGTAATTGCTGAGTGCTAAATCATAGTTACCGGATAAATAAAAGAGAATTTTCCAACTTAGTCGCTGAATTGTTTAACTCTGCATCACTAACCTCTCGTCTATCAGACGACGGCACCTCGCCTCATGTCAATTAGTGCATTTTGTCCATCAAAGCGGCGTAAGATGACCAAATACTTCTGTAAACTCTGCAATAAGGCTATTTATGATCAGCACACAGTTTCAGTTTGCAGTGACTGTACTGATTGGATATAATATTTGGTTTTATTTTAAAATATCTCCTTCAAGTTCCTGATAACATATCTTGTAAGAGTTTATAGAGATAGACAAAGTTTTGATTACAAAAGATATTTTATTTCGTAGTCTGACAGACGAAAGGTTAGTAACCATGTTACTCATATTCCCAAGTTAGTGATTTAGGGTTAATGCGTTAATTAAGCTGTGCGATATTAGGAATTGTTGCGCTGCAGGATAACTTCTTGCATATCATAAATAATTATGTGCGCTTTTCCGACACACATTTAGGGCATTTGAATTCATCAATATTGATTTTACGATAAGATAAAATCATTTAATACGTTTTTTCATAATATTTATTAAAATCACGGAAAGTATTATTTTCATAGATATTGATACATCTGATATCAAAACGTCAATAATATGTTTTAGTGACATTTTAATCAATAGAATTATTTATTAACATGTAAATTGATACGTGAATATTATTTTTATGTGAAGGTTCGCCAATCTAATCGAATCTTCGTACTCCGTATCTATATTGTTTCAAACAGGACTTATTATGGTGGCTTTGAGCATCACAGGAGTTCAGGTATGTATTTTCAATACCTTAGAAAAAAGCACTAAATATATACAAAGCAAACTTACAATAAAGAAAGAATAAAGATCCGTCAGAGATATTTTTCTTTTATGACAAATGTCTGATAGATTCGATAGGACGCAAGTAATATAGCTATGAGTTCTAACCCATTAGGCAATGAGGAAGATGCGGGGGAAGAGGATAAGAGGGGATATCAAATTACACAAGTTTAGCACTTTTTTAAGTAGTGGGGGAAAGGGGAGGTTACACACGTTTCGCAACTGCAAAAGCGCAAAGTCAGCAGTTTTTCAAGGTCATGGATATCAAATTACACAAGTACAGCAATTTTGAGGTGGTGGGGAGTATCAGGTTACACGCAAAGTCAGCAGTTTTTCAAGGTTATGGATAAGTATCAAATTTTGCGGCGCCAGCACTTTTTGAATAGTGGCGGTATCGAGTTACGCAGTTGCAAAGTCAGCAAGAGAGGGGATATCGCATGACATTTTCTGCAAAATCATCAATTTTCGGCACCATTGTTGCCAGATTTACAGATTACATCATTATTATTTTTAGATTATGCACGTTTGTGCAGGTTTTAGGCGTAATTTTGCGCCATTGTCTGCTTATAGATTATACAAATTCCACTTCAGCACTTTCGGCGCCATTTGGCTACTATTCCTTTTTTTTTGGCTTCGTGTAGAAAATTCTAGCCCATATAGTCATCAACAAAATTAGTGTTGCAAGATTAAAGGATTTCAACATGTTCTTCTAGAAACTATAAAATTGACCCCGAGGTAACGGACTCACATAGTGCAACTATATGTGAACCGTTAGCCAAATAATGTCGAGCGTAACCAAATTCGATCGAAGTTCATAAAGTACTCCTTCACTGCGAATATCAGGCCCGTTCTTGTTTTAATCAGAAGTTAATACTCCGTCTACATATTTCGATGTCAATGCTAATTAGAATTAGGTTTGAGTTAGATTAATTTTTTTTTAGGCGGGGGTGCAGGGGGGACGAAGGCCCGCCTACGCGTAAAAGTTGTAAACAAATTTTTTAAATTAAATAATAACAGATTTATTTCACTGTTTATAATATCAATTTATAACACCTAAAGAAGCATTAAAATTGTGAAACTTTAATTTGTTATATCTCCTAAACGAATGCCCCCACTTAATTTTTGCGGGGAATTACTCAGAACAATCTCCCTTACAACATATCTAAATGGCGACAAAATCGGTGAGATGTAACAAAAAAATTTATTTACCTATTAAATAAAGTATATAGATATAGATTTGTATTAAAACAATTAATAATAAAATAATAGAGAATTTCGAGTCGACGCAAGTTGTTTATTGCTAGTTATACATTCTTCATTATAATTGACATAAATTAGTTAACATTCTTTATTATATTAACATAAAATAGTTAGATGTTTCGAACAACATTTGACCATCTTTAGTAAATCTAACAATAAATGTCGTAATATATTTTTTTATCTCAATCAGTGATGCGATATTTCCTACCGGGCTCCCGGCTTCAGAGTCCGGTAGCAAACATCGCATTACTGATTGAGATCAAGTTCTGAAACTGCGAATATGTGATGTAAGCTGCTGATATGTTAACTGTTCAACAGATAGCGGACTTACGAACAAATCGGCAGCTGAGTAGTGTAGCTTAGTGGGTACAATTTGCAAATTTATTCAATATTTTAATTAATCGGGACGCTGACGCGAGCACTCGTTCCAAAGTCCGAGTACCGCGTCCAAAATAGGATATACAGATCAGCATTCTGTCAATAAGTGGGTCTACTGCTAAAGTACTGGCCTACTGTGCCACCATACAGATGTATATAAATTGATTTGTATAAATAATCACTGCACATAAAGTGGCAGCGGGTCTTGTCAGTCTGTTAATCCAGTGGAATACATGTCACGTAGAAGCCCTGTAAGATATCCGATAACGAAGTGTAACAAAACGAGTTTGTAAATAAATACTATTTATTATACTACTAAACAGACTACAAAATGTTTACTCCGGTTCAACCCCCTTGGTCTGCACGGCGAATTCCGAATCATACTTTGCGCTAACAACCCAAAAAACAGAAGCGCAATAGTTTACAAACATTAGGCGAGAAAATCGATATTATGTATCATATTTGAAGGAAAGTTCTTATATTAGAATAAGAATATAATCAATTAAATAATAATTATAATAATAATAATATTATAACGGGGGGCGTTTCTCTTTTGAAGTACCGCCCGCGGTACCCAGACATTGTCCATTGTGCCTCCCCTCATAAACTTACTCATGAGAGACCTGTTTTTCTCCAAAAGAGAATCAGATCCCTCACCGGCAGCATCCTGATCTGCTCGGGCCCAAGTAGTGCTGAGCCCAGCATCTTGTGTCTCAACCCTGCCTGTGCAGGACAGTCGCTGAGCACATGAAGGCTTGTTTCCTCGTCGTCTCCACATGCCCTGCACTTGGATGTATCGCTACGCCCAAGCTTGTACATGTGGTAGTTTAAGGTGCCATGACCCGTCAGTATGTGTATCGCTGTCCTGGATATCTTTCCTACTCAGAGCCTTTATGCTCCAAGTCAGTTCTCTATTAGGAGTATCTCCCATCAGAGCTCTAGCCTGTCTGCATTTGGACTCAGATTCCACTCTCCAGTGTTTTAGATGTTCTCTGCGGAGCCATTCTTTGATCCTCCCCTTTCCTAAACAAAAGGGGATTCCCAGAGCCGGCCCCGGTCCTACCATCGTTAATTCTGAACCCGCTTTTGCCAGCTGGTCCGCACATTCATTACCCTAGATGCCCGAGTGACCCGGCACCCAGGTAACGGTGACTTCTCTCTCTCTCGCCAGTTCGTTCAGAACGCACCTGCACTCTCGAACCAACCGCGACGTTATTGTCGGAGCCCCCAGCGCCTTGATGGCTGCCTGGCTGTCCGTACAAATCCTGATGTGCCCCCCCGCTTCTACTCTACTCCGCACGGTCTGAGCACAGCTTAGGATAGCCACAATCTCCGCTTGGAATACCGTGGCATAACTGTCGAGAGAAATGCACTCCTTCCATCCCTCTCGACTGCCAAAGAAGCCGGCCCTGGAGCCCGTGTCCGTCTTGGAGCCGTTTGTATACCAGACATTTCCTCCACGCACTCGAGCCCCTAAGTTTCCACCTTCCTTTTCCCACTCCTCCGGCCTCGGTATATGCACTTTGAAGCGCCAATCAGAAGCCCGAATAATAGGTATTCTGTCCTGTCGCATCTCGAATATCGGATCCAGCAGAACGTCTTCCGGCAGCCTCGTATGCCGGGCTCCCTTCTTCCATTTTAGTTCGCATCTCAGACGGTATGCCGCCATTGCTGCAGCAGCTACCACCACCTGATGAAATGGTTCGATGCCGAACATTACGCCCATCGCCGCCACTGGTGTCGTAACCATAGTACCCAGGGCCCCTCTCAAAATCAGAGCCCTGACATGCTCCAGCGCAACTTTGGCTGTTTTCTTTTGCACCCTAGTCCACCATACTACGGCTGCGTATGTGAGTCTGGGGCGAAGTATGGCTGTGTAGATCCAGTGTATCATACTCGGTTTCAAGCCCCAAGTCTGGCCAAAGGTCCTTCTACACATCCAAAAATACTGGCACAAGCTTTTGCACCGATTACGAAAGTGCTCCTCCCAAAGCAGTTTCTTATCCAGGATAACTCCCAAATATTTCACTGATTCGGTCGGAACTAACCTTACTCCTCCAAGAGTGGGCTCCACAATGGTGCCCACCTTGTATTTGCGAGTGAAGACAGTAAGACCGCTTTTCAGTGGATTCACCGCTAAACCTGTCCCCTGACACCACTCTTCTACAACTTCCAGTGCCCCCTGCATGAGCTCTAGAAGCGTCTCTAGAAAAAAGCCTCGCACAAATATTGCCACGTCGTCCGCGTAGTCTTGTGCAGTGAAGCCTTTATCGTCCAGTGCCCTTAATAAACCGTCTGCTACCAGGCATCATAAAAGTGGGGAAAGTACTCCGCCTTGCGGGCAGCCTCTTCCAACCCACCCACAGACTTTCGCAGTTCCCAGCGAAGTCATCACACGCCTCCCTAGCATGCCCCGGATCCACTCGACGAGCTTCATCGGGACACCCCTTCTGGCGGCTTCCTCACACACTACCTCGTGCGGTGCGTTGTTAAAGGCGCCCTCTATGTCCAAGAAAGCACCCATTGCGTAGCCCTTCCTTTCCAGCTGCTCCTCAATAAACGCTACCGTCTGATGTAAAGCAGTCTCGGTGGAATAGCCCGAACGATACGCATGCTGATTTTTGTGGAGAGGGTGACTCCACAGAGTTGTCTCCCTCAGATACGCGTCCACCAGCTTCTCCAATGTCTTAAAGAGAAACAATGTTACGCTAATTGGCCTGAAATCCGTTGCCTTGGTGTAGCTCGTTCTTCCCGCCTTTGGGATGAAAACTACCTTGGCCAGTTTCCATGCGCTGGGTGTGTAGCCCATCGCGATACAAGCCCTTAAGGTTCGGGTCAGTGGGCCCACGATCTGTTCCAGTCCCTCTTGTAGAAGAGCCGGAAAGATACCATCCGGTCCCGCTGACTTGTAAGGCTTAAAGGTGTTAATTGCCCACTTGACTTTCTCGGACATGACAATCTTGGCCGCCATTCGCCAGTCCGCTTGTCGGGCTCTTTTGAGTGAGCACGGCTCCTTATATGCAAATAGCTCTCCCTGCTCTCTATGGAAGCCCGGAAAGCTCACTTCCAGTAGATGCTCCAGACATTGCTCTCCAGTCACCACCGTCCCATCAGGGAGTGCGATGGCTTCCAGAGTCGCATCCGGGTTCCTAGCGAGGATCCTGCAGATTCTTGCCGTTTCAGGCATTTCCTCTACTTCCTCGCAAAACTTCCTCCAGCTTTCCAGTTTCGCCCTAACCACAGAGTCTCTATATTCCTTCTGTGCCCTCCTAGAGAACTCCCAGTCGGATTGGCGGCCCGTGTTCCTGGCTCTGTTCCAGGCCCTACGAGTCGCCACTCTGAAATCCTGCAGTCCAGGGGTCCACCAGGAAGTTCCTCTACTATTTGTAACCGCCCTTTCGGGGCAATTACTTTCGTAGCAGTTTACCAGAGACCTCTGCAAGTAGTCCACACAGGTCTCCAGTTTGTCCTCTGTCCCGTGCCTCTTAGGGAAGCCTTTGAGACTGTTGGCCAGGTCTTCCCTATAGGAGTCCCACTTGGTTTTCTTCGGGTTCCTGAATTTGACATCCTTCCCCCTAGCCTTAGCTATCCTGAAGGTGATCTGCCTATGGTCAGAGAGCGAGGGCTCCGTCGAGACCCTCCACTCCACTACCTCCTGTATCAACTGCCTGGAACAGATAGTGATGTCGAGCACTTCTCTTCTCGCTATAGTGCAGAAGGTGGGCTCGTCTCCTGTGTTGAGGATCTCCAGATCCGTAGATGCTAGAAACTCCAACATTTTCCTCCCTCTTTCATTGGTGTCCGAGCTTCCCCACACGGTGTGATGCGCGTTAGCGTCACATTCCATGATCAGGGGAAGCCGTTTCTCCTGGCAATATTCTGCCAATTTTATCACCGGTGCAGGCGGCACCGTTTCCCCCTCGTCATGAGAGAAGTAGGCCGAGCAAATAACCATTTTCTTCCTGTCACCGGAGTCATCAGTGAAATTCACTTCTACAGCCGCAACGTCCCTGGAACACAGGTGAGGTATCAGCTGGGCTTCCATACCCTTGACGGCCACGCAGGCCCTGGGCCGGTCCACTGATGGGGCCCTAAAGAGCCTACCGCAGGCTGCCAAACCCCTGATGCAACCTCGGATTACCCAGGGTTCTTGCATCAGTTCTCTGCATTGCAGTTCTCTGATATGCATGTTTGCCTCCCAGCTTGTTGCCTGGCCAAAACAGCCGAGGCCCCTTTGCTGTGATGCAGATTAATGTGGGTGAAGGCCACCCCTCTCGATCCCGCCATTTAGCTACGAGACCGTTTTAGGGGGCTCCTTCTTATCCTTCTTTACCCCCCCCCCCTGGGCTCCACTTACCCGAAAGGCAACCCTGTCGAGCCCAAAGAATGGTCTGAAGTCCAGTGTCTTCAATTTGAGGACACTGGACTCCGGGACACCGAGGACTAGGTTCCCACCCTCCCCTGGTCGGCCCCTACCCCCTCCGCGAACACTTTCCAGCTCCCGGTGACGAGACCTGGGTTCTGCTTCTCCAGCCGCTTCAGGACCGTGGCCGCGCCCTCGGGAGGTCCCGGGACCCAAACCACCGCCCTGTGCTGCTTTTGAAGCGCGTCCAAGCCCATCACCTTGAGCCTGGCGCCCTTCCACGGAATAATGCCGCCGATCCGCCCCACGAGCCAACCCAGCGACGCTGAGTCAACTGCTCAGCAGTGAACTCTGTCTCGGAGTAGCCCTCCGCCACAATCACCCTCGCCAGAGGGTCAGCAGCGTCCGAGTAAGCATGGTGCCCGTCGTGAGTCCTTTGCCTCTTCAGCGGACGGCCGCCCGATGGAGGGGTATCCTTGGAGCCCTTTCAACGTTTACCGTCGGCGTGCCTTTTCACCACTTCCACCGGCGTACAAGGGGGAGCCACGGGAAGAGAGCGAGCCCCTTCCAAAGCCGCTGCTCTCATCCAATTCGCCCTCCTTCTTTCGGCCCCGCACCGATTCTTCTTCGCTGGAGGTGAAGCCTCCTGCCGCGCAGCCGGGCCGGCCTCACTTCTGGAGCCCTTAAGGGTCCCGTCCGTCACCACCGTCCCAGCTCCTTCCCCCGGAGACCCGTCACGCGAGCCCTCCCGATTTCCCACTTCGTTCTCTAAGTTTAATTTTAAGTCTGAATCCATAGTGGTCCCACGAGTAGCTAGGGAACTACACGGTCCGCCCACGCAGAGCCCCGCATGCGTGGGTAAGGCTGGATACTCTGGGGTTTTGCCCGGTTCCCCAGAGGCATCGTTCGCGACACTGCTCCCCCAGTGACATGCAGCCATCGCCACGATTGCTTACAACTTGGGGAGCTGGTCCGCGGCAACGGTCTTTCCTTACCCTCCACAGGGTTTTACTTCCGTGGGGCCAGGTTATAACCGCCACTACCCAGCAGCACTGAGTCCCTTCAGAGAACTCACACCTACTGGGCGTCCTCCTATCCGCCACCTTGGAGACGCGCCCGGTGGGTAGCTCAACCCCCGGGATCAATTAAATAATAAACAATAAATTTTTAAATATAAAGAAATCGCTTTAACAGTTTGAATTAAAATTAATTTTTTGTGCTCGGTACATTACGCGCACGTAAATTTTTAAACACGTTTTTCTCACAAATAAGAATTAAGTATTATTTTACTATGGATTAGTGTGAAGGTAAGACTATAACATGTAAAATTCAACGAAATCGGAGGGGGTCTGGCGTTTCCCTCGTGAGCTTCTAAGTTCAGTTTTGAA